GGGTTTGGTTTTTTTTTTTTTTTTTTTAACGTGCGTGTAGTGGAAATAACAGTAGCCACGAAGGCGGCTGTTAACCGGTTTAAATTAGGATAATGCATTTATTCATCACTGACCAAAGAGGTGCCCACTGCGGAAACGTTTTGTTTCTTAGCCCTTCCTCCTCGCTCTACCTTCCTCCTCCTCCTCCCTCAAATCAATTTTTAAAAAAAAAAAAAAAAAGGGAAAACCATTGCGCTCCTGCAATTTAAGTCTAAATTCTTGGGTCCATGTGCGAAAAATAAAATGAATTTCACTTGCTATTGGAAAAAATCAGGAATTGTATGAGATTTGCAAGAGCTAGTTTCTTAAACGGAAATTGAGTCCTATTTTGTGGGAAATTAGTTTTGCAGACTTTCTGAAAAAAAAAAAAAAAAAAAAAAGGGAAAACCATTGCGCTCCTGCAATTTAAGTCTAAATTCTTGGGTCCATGTGCGAAAAATAAAATGAATTTCACTTGCTATTGGAAAAAATCAGGAATTGTATGAGATTTGCAAGAGCTAGTTTCTTAAACGGAAATTGAGTCCTATTTTGTGGGAAATTAGTTTTGCAGACTTTCTGAAAAAAAAAAAATCTAACTCTCTTGTTCAGCAGCTGCTCCACTTTTCCCTGCAGTTTCAGACTGAGCTGGAACCTGCAGCAGTCTTTCGACGGTAAGATTTTCCCCCCTTTTCTGACATCTAATGCTTTTTAAAATTTGTTTTTAGATTTAACTGTAACAATGCGGTCTTTAAAAAGAGAGCGGCCTCCAAAGCAGAAGTTGCTGCCTCTGTGCGCTGTTCAAAAGCTGATATTTCTTCAGAATAAAGGAAATATACAGTTACAACACTGATGAAATATTTTGTGCTTTTCATTGTGTTTATCGTTTCAATATGTGCTCTAATATTAAAAGAGAGGAGTACAAAGAAAACTCAAGGGCCGGACCCCTCTTGGGTTAGCTAACTCGCCGGGCTGCCAGCACAGGGGTGGTGGTGTCCCTGAGAAACAGGCAGTGCCACGAAGCAGTAACGGCGGGATAGGTAC